CGCTAGTGATAAACCGGAACAGCCAGAGGATAAATGTGCAGGTGCACTGAGGTGTGCCTAACACGTTGCCTCCATGTAGATGCGTTGTAATTTCCCACAGGTACAGTAACAGAAATTGGTATTGATACAGTTTGTTACGCTCTCTGTTTCCACTTGGATGCCTTATCTTACAGGGCTGCCCTTAGCCAGCATTGCTATCATGGTTTTACTGCACTGCTCCTGGTTTCAGAATAGTTTGTCTCCTAATAACAAAAAGTCCAGTGATGCCAAATGTGCTTGTCCTGAGTGTTGGTTTCAAACGCTACATAAACAGGGAGTGCAGTCCTGACAGAGAATGTGAGCATCAGGTTCAAAAACATTTTGCCACACACTTGATAAGTTGATAAAGTTAATCACAGTACACATAGTCTCTATTATTCTGATATATATTCACTCCACTCCACAAACAATCTCTAAACACAACAGCTCCACGTGGGGATGGCGGTACTGTAGTAATGTGGATGTTTTCGACCTGTTTCTGGGTTATAGCACTCCTGTTAGACTGAGGTCTGTTTTCTGGCCCTGTGAGGCTGCAGGTTTTCAACCCTTCCAAGCGTCGCAGTCCCAGCTCACCTCCTTCATCAGTGCTATAATGAGGCTGTAACCCTATAGGCTAAACCCTGTGTCCTCTGCACTCACTCCACCACAATGGGACCTGTGCTGCTGCTCCTGCTGCTGTGTGTCACTGCCTAATCACGTTTTGCTCTTTGAGGTGTCAGCATGTCTACTGTCTTGAGCGATATCAAGTTTCCCCCTGTCATTTACCCTTTTACGTTGTCATGCATTGTCCTGCCTGTTCCCCTCTGTCCCCTGATAGCTGGGATTTTAGTGGTTTCTATGGTCTGCTGATCCTGTAAACAGCGTTCCCATATGTATGTAAGTGTTCGTTACTCTGTCACCTGTGACTGAGTCACTCAGAGATATATAGGGAGAAATGGGAACTTGGCGTCCTGCTCGCTGTAGCATCACGTCACTGAAACTGGAGGTCGACATGTGATAGGGTTTAAATCATTCACAGGCAGCGGGTGCGGTGTTTGTGTGTGTTTGTATTTTTCTTGGCATTTGTGTTCGCAGCCATGAGTGTAACTGCTGTGTAACAATGACAGGATATCTAAAGCAAGAGTGACAAGGTCATACATGGAAAAATACTGGAACACTCAGAAACACTCATAGACGTACTGTGAGTCAGTGGCAAAGCAGATGGTTTCAGGCACATTGACACCAACATTTGAGCATTATGTTTACTCAAGTAGCTCTGTAATTACCACATATGAAGCAGCACTCTATGGATTTCTGCTTCTTTTTTTTTTCACTCTAATAATCCTAATTAGACATGTATAATAACACTTATGTAAGCTTAAGAGCAGCTTAAAAGCAAAAAGTGTTCATTAAAACATGACGGGTCAGGTAGAGTGTCACCAAAATCCTTTCAGAGCCGAATATAAGCCGGGAAACCTGGAAGGAAGCAGAACAATCTCAGAGCTTAGAAGAAGAAGATTGTCAGGAAACCCGCCGACTTAAATATAGATGGTAGGAAATGTGTTTCTGACCTAAAAATCTACTTAAAATTCAATTCAGATGCTGCTTTTGTGTAGATAAACTCCATGTTTTTCCACATTAAGGCTTTTATGTAATATGTCGAGTGTGTGTGGTCCTCTGCGTCTATCACGATATCCGCTCTGTACTGTATACTTACCACCTCTAATTCATCCGTCTACAGGCAGTGCCAACTTCTGGCAGCTCAGTGCTCCTGCTGCCCTCTGTGTTTGTGTGCGTGTGGTAGAGAAGCAAACATTCAGTGTCATTTTTCCACCCCTCAGGATTAATGTTTTACTGTACTGTTTGTAAGTCATGCAGGGTCACACACGAGTTCACTGATACTTTTTTTTTCTTTTCTAAATGTCATCAGCGCTGACATTCACATTCGCACAAGAGAAATCAAAGGTGATGAATTTTGTCAACAAATGTAGCAGCCTTTCACTCCCCAAAAGCTCAGGATTTCTCCTGTTTATGTGACCTAATCACATATATAAACCATATTCCCTGCTCCTCAGGATACATGTTGCTACCTCAATATGTGTGTGAAAAGTGCTCATTTTCCTGAGCTAAATGTGGCAACATTGATCAATACTGAAAGACCAAGTAATATGATACTAATATTACTGCAATATTAAGTCATATAAAGCACAAGAAAGTTGATAATATACAAATTCACAAGCATTTTTCTTCATTTTCCTGTTTCTAAATGGACTTCTTGACTGTGACTGTGCATAGAAAGATTGCTCTGTATATAGTTGGGGCAGTGAAATTTGGATATGGTGCTATAGTCGGTGCCTTTAATTGAAAAATAAATAAAACAAAGCACCAAAGTTTAAAGCACTTTTTGCTTGAAATGATTAGTCTGGATGACACAATTTTCAAACACTATAAAACAAAATTGGATGTAATAATAATGACTTATTACCCAGCCCCACTGGAGCCTGTAAAATTACAGTA